CAGGCGTCCAGTGTTTGAAGGGGCGCCTCACCATTTTTTATTGCATCATCCATCACTCGCCCGGTTCGAGGTGGCCGGTGCATAGCGTACCCACACGTTTAGTTCAATTACGAAGACCTCAATGGCCCAGTAGCAGCCTGTCTAGGTTGTGGGGCCAATAATAGAAGAAGAAGATGTATTATGCGTTATGCAAAAGCTTGTGTCTGGGCCCTTAAAGCGGGGAGCACAGACTCTTGCATAACGCATAACACGTAATGCATAAGAATATGTACCAATCGAAGTTCTCCGTTTCTTTCCCTTCCATGTAATAGAGAACTCTGGTTGGTTCAATTTCTTATGCCTCATGTGTTATGCGTTATGCAAGAGTCTGTGCTCTCCGCTTCACACTTTGTGCATTCCTGTGTACGTTTGTGTCAAAATGTGTTAAGCAATTGGAAAACACCCAGAGAATCCCGCTACTGTTGCCAGCTTTTTAGTTTTTCCTGTTACCAAAAAAATTCTCTGTACTATCAACAGAGTTAGAAAATGGATGTAGCATGTAGTTCCCAAATTGAAATGGATATACTGGCGATAGTATATAGGCGATTTCGATGATTACAAGAAAAAGGCTGGCATGGCCTCTGTCATAGTGTCATCTCAGGTTTCTGATACTACAGATTATTAGTTTCAATTTGTAACCTTATTTTATATGTAAATTTGTTGTACATACAAGCATTTTATATAAAATATTATTACTTCTGGAAATTGTTAGCAATGCAATGTACGAAGCTTTTATTAACGGTTATCGTTTAGCTGACGTGTCACATGGCAAACCCTATTATGTTTACTGTATCGAGGTTTTGGAGTCAAAGACTGGCACTCGACATTTCATCGAGAGAAGATACAGCGAATTTAGTGCGTTACATCGCAAGGTACATTACAGAGGTGTTAATTATTAATAATTGATGTAAAAAAACTCATATCTACTTTTTTGATAATTATAGTTTAGCTATAACACCTCAAAAATCAATCAAGTTAGGCTTATTCGACGCATTTGTGTACAAAATAAATGAATTTAGCAAAAAAAAGTACCGCTCTGCCCCGCAAATCAAGATATTAATGTTTGTTAAAGTTGACGACTATTCAGGTTAGGAAATCTATTCGAGGCATAAAAACATGGAAACATGTAAATGAGGCTAGAATAATTCTTTCTGCTTTAATTACACAAATTCTCCGTTTTAAAAACAAATTCTTTGCTTTAAAAACAAATTTTCTACTGTAAAAACAATTATTTAAAGACTAATTTGTTTTTAAAGCAGAAAATTGTTTTTTTAAAGCGAATTTATGTTTATAAAATAGAATTTGTGTACAAAATAAATCCTGTATGCTATCGGTATGACAAATTTCCTAATCTGAATATCTGTCAACTTTAACAATTAATATCTTGGTTTGCAAAGGAGAGCGACATTTTTTTACCAGACTCGTTCATTTTGTGCAAAAACATGTCAAATAAACCTAATTCCATATTTATATGCAGTACAGGGGAGGAGGTTATCTGAATAATTACTCCTAATTTTATTGATTTTGTAAGTGCTGTAGCTAAACAGTAAACTCTAAAATTATTCTTTTTTCCAACTATATTTCTTTTATTAGAATATTTTTATAAAATATTATTATAAAATACGTTTTTAATACATTTTGTATTTATTGAATAACAATGTATTGTACAAGAGAATTTAAGCTTTTTTTAAATTCTTTTTCAGTTGAAGAAGGATAATTCAGATATTGCACCGTTTCCACCAAAGAGAGTAAGAAACTCCCAACCGAAAGTATTGGAACAACGACGAGCTGCTTTGGAATTATATATACAAAAAATGCTAAGTCTGTTAGCAACAAAACAACAAGTTCTCAATTTTCTAGGTATAGAAAGCCAAGAAGCTACGTTTCATCACAGGTATTTGTTCAAGTGGATTAAATTTATAGAGAAGAAAAATGTATATATTATGTTTGTTATTTATAGAGAGTTTATGACAAAATAATTTTATTTTATTTAAGTTATTTTATATTTATCAGAATAATAGTTATTAAATATATATTAACAGAATAAAATTTAATGTTTGAAAATATTTCATATATATGTATATATATATATATATATATTGAAGTTTTTATAACTTTTGTAACATAGTAAAGTTTAATAGCAATTAATTTTGTCATTTTTTAACTTTTCAAGAGTACATAAAGCTGCAGACAATTCAGTGCATAACCATCCAAATACTTTGGAACATCATCCAGTCTTGACTTTTCATTGTGATCCATATGTCCCATCTGATTCAACTAGCAGTCTTTCAGATGTTGTAACTAATGGTGTGTTATTAGGTATATATAAATCTTGATATGAGTGATTTACAAGGTTAAAATAATGAATATAAGGTGCATTTTTTAAATAGTGTTTTTTTTATAAGATAATGGCTGCATTCAGGAGAAAAAAAGCAGCTTTGCAACTGTTGTAAAATTCTTTAATATGATTGGTTTTGCCCTTCTTCACTGGATTTAAATGTATAAACTAATCATATTCAAGAATTTTACAACAGTTGCAAAACTGTTTTTTCTGCTGAACGCAGCCATATAAATCAGAATGAGGAGAAAATATTTCATTTTATATATTAAAATCTCATTTATATAATATCTACATAGCATATTATGTAAATCTCAAAGCATTATATTCATACTGACATACATCGACAAATGATCAGTAGAAAATGTCAATGTATATTGTGTAGCTCAGTATTATTGATCTGAAAATGCCAGGATTTAGTTGCAATTAATATAATTTTTGTATCAATCTATTTTTTCGTTTGCATTTTATCAACAAACATTTGGACGCATGTAATGTCATTTTTACTTTTGATAATATTTAAATGTGGATGAAGAAATTGTATATAAAATTTGTTTCTGTAAATATTTATTCATAGATAAGTACTACACACAAATCTAAAGTCTAATTATGTTTATAAATTTGATTAGTGTCAATAAACTGATTGTACTGTTTGTTATTTTCTGAGATAACAAATATGTAACACATGTATATGTATATATAATACATATATATGTATGCTGTGAGAGGAGTAAAATGAAATAATGCTAAGTTATTAATTATGCTCTCTGTATTGCATACTAAATTTTATTGAAATAAATTTTATTGAAATAAAGTAATCCAAATAAATTTTTGACTTATATTGTACTGAACAATAAATTGTGTATACATTACTTATTATTTCAAAGTCCATTCTTTAGGCTAATTGGATTTATGGATTGCAAAAGTATTATTACATAAATTAAAGTATGCACAAACAGGACCTCAGTTGTACTGGATTTTATGAGAAAATCGAAAAAAAGTTAAAAAAAACTCACTTTTGGCTCGTACAGCTGTCAACTCAGATATATATTTACTTGATATAAGAGTTTTAGGGCCTGAGCACAATAGAGGAACAGGAATTAGATATTAAGATTTTAAGGGCCTGTGCACAATAGAGGAACAAGAATTAGATATTAAGATTTCAACCTATCAGAAACCGCGTATTCCGATGTAATCAGTTTCTGATAGGTTGAAATCTTAATATCTAATTCTTGTTCCTCTATTGTGCGCAGGCCCTAACCTATCAGAAACTGATTACATCGGAATACACGGTTTCTGATAGGTTGAAATCTTAATATCTAATTCTTGTTCCTCTATTGTGCGCAGGCCCTTAGAGTCCATGTCTTCAAAATAAACGTGCAGCTGGAGTCTACTGGAACTTCTTTTTCTTCAACCTTTCATTGGCCCTGGTCTTCTTTATAACGAGGTAAACTTGGCCAGTCATGTAAAGGCACAGTCCAAGCCGGCAACGCTTTTCACAAATATAAGTACTGGTCCATAATCGTAAGTGGGAGTGTTATGCACCGGCCACCTCGAATCGGGCGAGTAATGGATGATGCAATAAAAATGGTGAGGCGCCCCTTCAAACACTGGACGCCTGCGGCTACGGCGTTTCCACGCCGCACGGCCGCGCTCCAAGACGGATAAAGGGACTATCGAAATTGAAATACTATGGCACAGTCCAAACCGGCAACGCTTTTCAAAAATATAGTCGAGGTGACGCAACACCTGAGACGAGAGGGAACACGTCCAACCCGCTCGAGTGGTCTACGAGAACTAATCTACTGGAACGAATGATACCGAGTTTGTAGAACTAATAGCGTATTCGATTATTACTGACTCGACCCAACTCTGAGTCAACAGTCTGTTCTTTTTAGCTGCATTTCTTACACAATTTAGCTCTTCTTTTACAGCTAAACAGAACAGATTATTGACTCGGAATCGAGTCGAGTCATAGGGTTTGTTCGCGTCGCATGCTCCAATATGTTCCAATATGCTCCTACCATAGCTCCTACTCACTCCAACGTGCTTGATAGAGTGAATAGGAGCTATCGTAGGAGTATGTTGGTGCATGCGACGCGAACAAACCTATAGCGTTTTCGGCCCGATCGGGTTTGCACCAACCTTGGTTGGATTAATCTTTCCTATTGGTTCTGGGT